AATGCGTCCTTTGCTTTCTTATTACCTACATAAGTTTGGCAGAAAAATGGTTCATAAATAGTTTAATTTAAATGGATAAAATATAAAAATGAATGATAATAACTTGGCAGAAAAAATGGATCATAATTATAAATGGACAAAAATATAAAAATAAATGATAATAACTTACCAACAATTTTACCAATCATTGTATGACCAGCTGCATGCAATCTGCCATATTTTGCTCTCCACTCATTATATTCAAGTATATCTGGATTGGAACGACAAGGGTTGAGAGTAAGCCCGAGTTTGTCGGGGTCATTCTAAGGTTCATAATTGTAAAGTTATTTTCTCGGCAATAAATTTGTTTAAGAGAAAAATTTTTGTGAATGATTACATACATAAAAGACTCCATCATCAATTGCTTTATTGATTGCTGCAACAGCAAAATCAATAGGAGCTCCATCTTCCTTAGCAATTGAAGAATACGGTAATCGATAATCATATTTATTTTGTAAATAATCAGGAGAAGTTTTTTCGTCATAGTCTCTTAAATATTTATTTGGTAAATATCCTTCAGGGATCGGATCATAGTAGTTTGTTAGTGGAATGACAGGATAAAGACCAACAGCAACCCTTTCAGCATCATATCTATATATTCATATATATATGTGTGTGCAGAGAATTTAGAGAATTGTTCACTTCTAATTGATAATTAAAAATAATAAATAAATACATTATATAATTTTAATTGTTACCTTGCTACCATTTGTTTATGCGTCCAAATGAACAATTCTCCTTGACGATCTTTTGTATACGCGACATCCTTGTTTGGAAGATAAGGGTCTACAACTCCATTAGGAACCTACCGATTATAATTCAAAGCAGTTTTAATATACAATAAGAATGCTTAGAAAATGATATTGATATTAAAAAATTAAAACGTAAAGTTTGATAATTACGAAGATGGCATGAGAATGGTGATGACTTTCGTTGAGGGAAAGATCTTCACGCCACCAATCCTGATTAAAAATAAACGTTATTTAGACAAGTAACCATATTATCAATGAATGTTAAGGAAGAAATAATAACCATTCTTGATTCAGGCCCACCCAAAGGCAGAGACTGTCCAGGTAATAAAGTGTTTGAAGAAATTATCTTAAAAGATGGTGTCTTGAGACCCAATGCAATAGCAGCAGGGTGATTGTTTATGAGAATGGTGAAAGCATCCTTAATCAAATTCGGATCATACGTTGTGACATCATTAAGTTGCTCTTGTACTTTATCAGCTACTTTAAAGAAACGTTCGATTCTTTCGTTGTCATCTTTAGCACTAGTTAAAATCAGCTTATACTCCGCATCGAAGTCCGTCACAAGTTGTTGTTGATTACTGTCAAACTATAAATAAAAGAAGATGAGAATTGAGTCGTAAGAAATTAGATATTCTCAGTAAAACTTACAGGATTCCAACGTGGAGGAAGCTTCTGGCCATCTTTAAGTCGTTTACGATCTTTAATTCTTTCATGCTTTCCATCTGTTAGGATTGCATTGATATAATTTTGAAGCAAACTAACTTTGTCTTTATTTGCAGTAATCGCAACCATTGGATTGCCAGCCTTTAGATTTCCAGCCTTTAGATGTGGACATATTTATATACGTAATCCCATTACATGACAATTTCTCACGTAATGATAATCATTATTGTAGCTTATAAATAAAATATCGTAACATATTCACAATGATATCGTACGTGGGTACGTACGTACGTACGTATAACCATTTTGAAGTCGATAATTTAGGAAAGATTACTTCCATTAAGAAAGATTCTGGCTTATAGATTCTGGTTTATAGATTTCTCACGCCAGTGCAGAGAATCTAAAAATCATGATCCCTCTTGATAACCCTTAAAAGTATCAAATACTGAATAAAAAAAATCTTTATCTCTTTATATAGACAATACATCAAATTATCATTCTACCAAGAAAATTCTTAGTTCGCGAAAACAGTTTCGTGGGTAAAAATTGATTTTTGAACAAGTTTTTAGGGTTTTTTAATTTTTTATTATAAATTTGATTCTTTAAGGTAGCTGATAATGCAAGTGCGTATGAAAATTTTGCATATCTCTATGCTACTTTAGTCTGATCGTGATAATCAATTGCCTGGGTAACTACGTAACGTTAATTTATCTAATTTATCTAATTGTGCAACAATTATGATGACAATCCAGTTTCTGACAGGATTTCAATCTATATTGCGGACTCACAGGACTCAAAAAAATATTACAAAGATCGCTATCGCTATAGCATTATATGTAATAAAAATATCCTGATCCGTTAGGTATTAGCGGAAACGAAGTTTCCGCTTGTACACATACGGTCAGGGTATTTTTGCTAAATCCCCGTGATCTTGATATAGTGATCGGGATATTTATTGTATAATAACAAATTTTTTAATTTGTTCTAGAAACTTACTACGTTATAACGATGGTATCCACTATAATGGAGTCCGTTATAACGAAAGTCAGGTTTACTAATTTTCCCTCATAGTTCCTATTGGACGATA